GATATTGTTGGAAGGAGCCAAAAAGTCATCAAGCTTTAACAATACAAGTATACATATACAACTTGAAAAGGACTGAAAGGCGTGTGACAACGCACGGGCGTTGCACTAGTATAGACAAAAGCAAAATATAAGGACACAAAAGGGAAAATAAACAAACTAAACACACATTTGTAACGAGCAGGGACCAACACTATAGCTTTCTCGTGCGGTTTTGGGAAGGTTATGCAAACTGATTCAAACCTGTTTTAGATGTTACATGCATTTATTCTCCTTAGTTGTTTCTATGTGTTTTTTGTATTTTTTATTTTTTCATTTTCGTTATTCATATACATGTTGATAATTTTCTGTATACAGATAGGACATTTTTCAGATACACGTTGAACATTTGTCAAATGCACATTGAATTTCTTTTAACACACATCAAACATTTTTCATAAATTCCATGGATTTTATTTAAATGTTCAAAAAATTGAAGTGTTAAGAACATTTTTCATAAATTCCATTTTATTTAAACGTGCACACTTGTTAAGTGTTAAGAACATTTTTAAATGCCACGTACATTTTTTTGAATGGTACAATCCCGTTTCTTAAATTACATGAATATTTTTCACAGAGTATAAACATGTTTGAAAATGTCACGGACATAATTTTGAAACTCTTAAACATTTTTTTACAAAGCCATGAACATTATTTTTGCATGATATGAAACATGTTAAAAGATTATGCGGACATTTTGTTTACATTGTATAATTTGTAGAAAAATGTAACAAATATTTGTTTGAAACATGTGAACAATGTTTTTGAATGTCATGAACATATTTTCTGAATGTTAGTAATATCTTACGAAATTGTGCAAACACATTTTTTACACTGCATGAACAATTTTTAATGTGCAATGAGCGCTTTCCAAATTTGAAGTAAATCAAATTTTAGAATATATGTATTTAAAATATTTCAAATATATAGACAAAAGCAAGATAAGAGAAAAGGAAAAGTAAATGAACTAAACACACTTGCATAACAAACCGACATGGTCATTTGAGGGAAGGCTACCGTGTATCTCGCTGCGGACGAGACAAAAACGCGCCATTTTCCATCCACTAGTATCGATCTTGTTCAGCATGTTCTATTCGATACTGGTAGGAGAAGAACCCGACTCGGTATTCTTAAAAAAAGAGGGGAAGCGGAACCAAGTCAAGATGATATGGGTCGCCTCTTCTTCTTGCGCCAAAGATCTTACCATTTCTGAAGGAACTGGGGCTACATTTCTTTTCAATTTCCATTCAAGAGTTTCTATCTGTTTCCACGCCCTTTTCTTGAGACCTCGAAACATGAGGACAAATTACTTCTCTTAGGAACATATACAAGAAAAAGGATAACGGTAGCCCACTCATTAACTACTTCATTTTCATTTATGAATTTCATAGTAATAGAAATCCAGCTTCTGCTAATGGGTGAGGCCCATCAATGGTAACAAAGCCAGATCGATCACCAATGAACAATGAATGGAGAGGTAGACTGGGTCAGCGTTATTAATCATGGCGAGGGTGGGACGGTTTACACGATGCACAGTTGCTTAATTATGTGATGTTTCTTCTTCTTCTTTGCTTCTATGTGTTTTTTGTATTGGTTTTACCTTTTTAATTAATTAGGTTTGTTTTCCTTTATCATTAGTCATATACAAATTTGACCATTTTCCGTAGATAGATTGAACATTTTTCAGATACCCACTGACATTTTTCTGAAATACACGTTGAACATATATCAAATGCGCATTCAATTTTTTTCACAGACATCAAACATTTTTCATAAATGCCATGATTTTTATTTAAATGTGCCAACCATATTAAGTGTTAAGAAATTTTTTGAAATGCCACGTACATTTTTTTTGAATGGTACAAACCATTTTCTTATATTATGTAAATATGGTTTACATTGTATAAGTATTATTTTAAATGTCACAAACATATTTTTCAAACATGTGAACATTTTTGTAAAAATGTCACGCACATTATATTTAATGATATGAAACATGTTTAAAGATTACGTGAACATCTTTTTACATTGTATATTTTTTTAGAAAAATGTAAAAAAACATTTGTTTGAAACACGTGAACATTGTTTAAATGTCACGAACATATCTGAATGTTATGAACATGTTATAAAATTGTGCAAATTCATGTTTTTACACTGCGGGAACAATTTTTAAATGTGCAATGAGCGCTTTTAAAATTTGAAGTAAATTAAATTTTGAAATATATGTATTTAAATGTGCGATCAGTACTTGTTTCGTGCTAGCACTGTGCCTCTTTTGATATTGTTAACACCATGCTCGCACCAGCCTACCATTGTTGTTAGAGCGAACACTATCAAAATCATGGAGGTGGTTGTAGGACTTATTCTATTGCAATAGTGCCAACACAAGCTCAACATCGCTTACATGCGTGCGGTGATATCGATGGACAACACATTGGATGAATATCACCGTGAGATCTTGGGAAGAAACACAACAGTGCAGACAAGTATGGATTGATATCATCGCCGACCCTACGTCTGCTCCCAACTACCTCCGCTTAAAGGAAGTCAAAATTGCTCTGCCCGTAGGCCATCAAGCAGTTGGCTACGACGGTGTGCACTCCTTGGCACTGGGAATTGGTCTCAGACGGTGTGGAGGGGAGACGGTGATGAGAGGAAGGTGCAGACTGACTGTCGTGTGTCAAGGGGATCCGACAGTGAGAAGCCGTTGCAAGGAAAGATGGTGGCGGAGACGCCGTTGGAGGGAGAGTAGGTCGGGGGAATGATATTTGCGTATGAGTGTTGTGTTGTTCGGTGTGTGTGTGTGTGTGTGTGTGTGTGTGTGTGTGTGTGTGTGTGTGTGAATAGAGAGAGAGAGAGAGAGAGAGACTTGTTTTTTTAAGATAAGAAGAAAAGGAGCAGCTGCTTGCTGTTTTCTGTAGGAAAAAAATAGTTGTTTTTATGAGAGAAATGTCACGTACTTATTTGTATAGTGAAAATATCACATGCCGTAACAAGTTATTTCTTAAGAATAATTACCAACAAGTTATTTACAGGTGATCTTACAGTTCATTAAAATTGGGATGCAACTCATTCTACTGAAAAGCGCGATGCCACCTACTCTGAATAAAAAGGGACAGATGCTTGCATGCGGCTGACCAATGAATATATATTTATATGTTCATATTTTTATTTTTTATTTAATATGTGTTTATACATTCACTCTTTTTTTGAAAAGTTTATATGTTCACTTTTGTAGATCAGAGGTAAGAACTGATGGCTGCGATGATGCTTTGAAAATGTTGATTGACAAGTCATTACATAACTATGATGGTTCTGACTAAAAACTCATTGGGTTTTACACAATAAAAAGATATGCATAAAAGTAATTGTTCTTATATGAGAAAGATGGAGATGGATTATGTTGACGTTAAAAATAATCCGTCGTTAAAATACAATCCACCAATAAAGGAACCGAGGCAATATTGTTGGAAAGGGCCAAAAATTCACCGAGCTTTATAAAACATTATATATACAACTAGAAAAAAGAATTAGAAGGCCCGTGGCAACGCATGAGCGTTCCACTAGTATAGACAAAAATCCCTCAAAAAGAACTAGTATAGACAAAACTTTGCACATTATCCAATAAATAGATGCCAGATTTCTTAAAAAAAACTAGTATAGACAAAAGCAAAATATAAGAAAACAAACAAACTAAACACACATCCATACCAAACCCACACGATCGTTTAAGCAAATGCCAAATGTATCCTTTGTTTTTTTTAGAGAAAAAGCCATGTGTATCTCACTGCGGACGATACAAAGACGCACATTTTTCCATCCACTAGCATCGGAGGAGCTTCTGCTAACAGGTGAGGCCCATCAATGGTAACAAAGCCAGATCGATCACCAAAGAATATATCTTGCCTACAATGAACAATGAATGGAGAGGAAGACTGGGTCAGCGTTATTAGTCGTGGCGAGGGTGGGACGGTTTACACGATGCATGGTTGCTTAATTAATCACACAGATGGATGTGTCTATGCATCGTTGTCATCGACACAAGAGGCATGGAAGCTGCATGCGATACATCTTATGTATCGTATGCATGACTATGTGTGTATACTGATTACAGATTGAGGACCTACGCAGCTTCGTCACTGAATTTAATTAAGTTGGTATATGGTATAGTAAACAAAGTAATGCCATTAACCACATCAGACAGATTGCGAAGAATTTCATGAGGAAAGATGAACCTGCGACTGAGCACTATAAAATGGCGGTGCTCCCCTCAGCGGAGAACAGAACAGAGGGAACTCCATAC